AAGGCTCTTCCAGACAGTAACCCAACATACTACTGGAAAAATGAACAGCAGACCCCAATTCTATCCAAAGGAATACTGACAATGGATTGCAGTAGATGAGGAACAGCTGACCCTCCTGGAACAGGGACCTCTGGCTGACTAGATTTACCAGAAGGGCAGACAGGGGGGAATGGATGAGGGTGCTGACAACACAGTGGACAGTGACAGAGATGGCAGAGTATGGAGCCTCTAGTGGGAGAGGAAGGCTGTCTATCTGACAAGTTTGTATTCATGCTCAGATGCCGAGGAGCTCAGAAGGTGGGCGACTGTGACCAGTGACAGTCATGTATATAGAGATTAGAAATGCATGTGAAAACGTCTCAATGTCAATTGCATTGGAATGAATTCTTCTGTGTGAATAATCTTTTAAAAACACTTAAGAGTCATCGTTTACACTAACTCAACAAAGCTAAGAAATCCTATCACCCAATCTACTGAAGCTATGTCAGAAACTTGTTGATCCTTCCCTTGGTTAACTTTTGAAGACCCTGTCACACAGGATAAGCAAATGCACTCTTCTTCTAAATTGAATCCTCTATTTGCAACTTAGGCATTTGTTCTTATGGCCTACATAATCTCAAGAGATATGAAAATCAAACAGCTACTATTGACTACATAATTCTCCTTTTTCTCTCAATTGCAAGGGTAAGAGGGCAGAGATAGAAGACAAATTACCAGTTCGCTTGACTTTTAAAACAAATTTTACAAGGGCTAAGGAGATAACTCAGCAAATTGACTGTCATGTAAACATGACAACCTGAGTTTGATCCCTAGCACCTATGTAAAAGCCAGGAATGATGTGCGTATAAGCCTAGTGCTGGGGAGGCAGAGACAGGAGGATCCCTGGGGCTTGCTGACCAGCCAGTCTAGCACACAACTTTAAGTTTCAGGTTCAGTGACAGACCCTGCCTCCAAAACTAAGGATGGGGCTAGAGAGATGGCTCAGTGGATAAGAGCATGTACTGCTCTTGCAGACACCTGCTTCCCAACACCCATGTCAGGTGGCTCACAACCACCTGTAACTCCAGCTCCAAGGAATTCAACACCCTCTTCAGGCTTCTGCAGGCACCACACTCACATACACATACCAATACCCATGCACACAATTAAAACCAAAATAAATCTTTAAAAAAAAAAAAACCCAGCAAGGTGGATGCCAAAGGAACAGTATCTGTGATCTGCAGCCTCCACGTGCATGTACACACACACACACACAAATGTATTTATCTGATAAATGGGTAAATATAAAGATATGATATCTGTATGAGATTAATACATAGGCACACATAGGTTATACTAGTTAAAAAACCACTTGTAGCATTAAAATCTGAAATACTGAAGGTAAAGTAAGTGCCTTTAACAGTATGACATAGCAAACAAAGCTGCCAGCAACATTATTTTCTTTAAGTATTTTATTACTTGAAAATAAAAGGAGTACCAAAGAAAAGTGAATAAAATTTTTGAAACTGTCAATAACTTCAAGCTATTTGCAAGAAGACCCATTTCCAAGGAAGCATCAAAAAAAATTTTTTTTTAAATTACTTTGGCCCAGTGGATAAGGGTACTTGCCACCCAACAATGCATGCCTGGTAACCTGAGTTCAATTCCTGGAAACCACATAAAGGTGGAAGGAGAGAAATGAACTCCACAAACTTGTGCTCTTAGCTGCACATTTGCATGCGTGTGTGCGCACACTCACATATGCACACACATACACCCACCCACACACACAAATAATTTTTTTAAAACCTGCTTGATTTTCAGTCCTGAAATTACCACCATGTTCACAGGGCACAGAAATAAATGATAGTTACAAACAAAGATGCATTTTAAAACGTAAATACAAATTACCTAGTGATATCTTCAGTCAGTTGAGAAGGATCAGGAGGATAAAATTTCACATTAAAAGTGAACAGCCAGGGAAGGTCTGTAATTATGAAACATCACAGTTACTTATCAAAACAACAGAATGACTTTATTTTGATACAACACAGACTTATTCCATTATAAATCAGTTTGTACTTAATTTATAGAAAGTTACTGTTATACAATAAAAATGAAATTAAAAAATAGAAATGAATATCATAAATAAGCCACCATTTGAGAAAAATATGTTGACTTTTTATAAATATAATTATATCCATAAATATTTTATATGGCAGTTTATTAAGTAAATTGAATATAATCTCCAATCAACAGCTATGAGATAAATGTATTTTACCCATAGGAGCTCTAGCTACTATATACTCTCCACTCCTTTTAAAATATATATATACATGTGAGATTTCTACTTTGTTGGTAAAAGGGAAAAATGATTGAGGGATCATCACAGTAGCTCTTAAGATGAATGGCTACCTGAAGCTAATGTTCCAAGAGATTCTAAAGAGAAAGTATGAAAAGACTGAAATACTTTAAGACAAAATGATTTCCCAGGTTTTAGAGTTGGCCTATTGTATCATGTTATGTCAAACACCCACCCACTGTATACACACATTTCCCCAGGTGACTGCCAATCATAGTCAAGCAGAGTCAGCAAAGAATTATCATTTCCCAATGGCCCCTTGCTTACTTATTTTCTAGGTATTAACACTAGTATGTATCTGTCTGGGTAGGACTATATATCCATTTTTACTAGAACCTTTGTATTTTAAGATATATTTCTAAAACTCAAAAATGTTCAACTTTTTTCAGTTCACAAAATTATATATGTATATGTGTGATATGTGTGTACACATATGACAGAAGATATATGAAATATGCATACATTGTGGAATGGCTAATTTGAGTTAATTAACAAATGAATTCATTCACATATTTTTGTGGTAAAAACACTCAAAATCTATTAGCAATTTCACATTTCATTTTTAATCAATTATGTTGGCCCCAATTTTACCTGGCTACATAAAAACACAGTCCAGCCACTTACAGATTATATATTAATCACAGGCAAGTATTAGATACACAGCCTTAAAAATATACTATTGAGAAAATAATTTTAAGGCAACTTTTAAGTGGAAACCATTAGGTTTGTCTGTTATAACTCAAAAGATCTATTCTTGCTATTAGCTATAAAAATCTAATAGGAGAAATTCCTTCATCTATCCTATACATGCAAAAATGGGCCATTCCAACAGTAAAACTTCATTTACCTAACTACTGTCATGAAGGAGACAGTACAGGCTACCATTTAAAGAAAAGTCAGGTAAGAATTGTTCCTGCTATACCTTATGACAAATCACAAGGGCAAAAGTCCTAAAATAACTCTAAAAAAAAAACTTTAAAATTAATCAAAACATAAGAAGAACGTGATTCATAATTCAGTCTTGCTTTCTGAAAGTTTTTCAAACATTTGTATTTGGAAAGTTTCCTCTAAACTTTCTTTTTAAGCTTTCTTCTAGAAGGCAATTTCCAGCAGGAAATATCTATGACTCTGAAATGATTGGCACACACACAATTAAGAGCCAAAACCAAACCACAGGCAACAACTTCATGGACCATCAATCATATTTCAGAGGTTGCCCTGTTCATTCTGTTCAGGTCACCCAGCAAATCTGGTTTCAGAGAAAGTATAAGAACTGTATCTTTCTGAACTCATGCTCTATACAGATCATGCAAAAATGGCAAAAGGAAGAAAGGAAGAAGTCCTTACAGCTCTCTAGGGTAGTTTCTTCCATAATGTCAGCGTAATACATCTGTGTCTACTTACTACCTCCTTACTTTCCCATCATGAAACAAACATAAATGGATGAAACATCAAATAATAAATGGAAAAGAGGAAAAAAAAAAAAGAAACAAATGTTGGAATGTCAAGAATAGTTCAAAAAGGGAGTGGCCAATCATGCCAGCTTGTATAACACTGTTCCAGCTTTCGTACCTGAAGTTTCATGTAACAGGACATGCCTCAGACAAATCAGGAAGATTGGCCAATAAAAAGCTATTCTTAAAAGGAAAAAAAGATGAGTCTAAAGGAAGAGCATATGATAACAGTAACTTGTATGCCCAAGTAAAAGAAACAAGAAAGCCAGACATGTTATACATCCCTGTAATGCCACAACTCAGGAGGCAGAAGGATTGTAAATTCAAGGCCAGCACAGACTATAGTGAAATCTTGTCTTAAATAAATAAACAAACAAATATAAAGAAGGGAAAAATCAAAGTAAGACTAGGATCTATTATTGAGGAAAGAAAAAAAAATGAAACAGAAGAGGAGACACTACAATGGAAGGCAGAAGGTAAATAGAAGGGACTGGGAAAGTATAGATATCTTCCAGAATTTTGACATTAGAATAATAATTAGAGAAATGTGAAAATGTTATCAATAGTGCAGGGCATTTTGATGGCTAGTTCTCAGGGAAATGGGCAGCTGCTGGGCCCAGTCTTAAAAGGACTCTGAGGAGGGGGCTGGAGAGATGGTCAGCAGTTAAGAACACTGGTTGTTCTTGCAGAAGACCCAGGTTCGAATCCCAGCACCCACATGGCAGCTAACAACTGTGCGTAACTCCAGTCCCAGGGGATCCGACAGCCTTTTCTGACTTCCTTGGGCACTGCATGACACAGGTGCACTTACCTACATGCAGGCAATAAACGCATACACATAAAATAAAAATAATAAAAAATTTTTTTAAAAAGGGCTCTGAGGAACTGACTGTTCAGTTTTTGTTTCCAAATCTAAGCACTCCAGCTGCTCATGGCTCCCTGCCTGCTTCAGTTATTCACAAATTCTGAAACAAGTATTCAAATCCCCTAAATGGTTTGGATAACAGTTCTTGAGATTGCTATCGCACACAAGGAAACGTGCACATCTACGAAGGTAGCTGAGGATGGTTAAGTGGAATGCAGAAAGTCATCTGAGGATTCTATAGTAAGAACAAATAGTAAAAGGAGAAGAAAGGAACAAGCAGGTTAACTAGTCTGGTTAACTACAAACTCAGACTCAAAGACCTCGTATAGTGACCTTGAACTTTGGAAGAAACAAAGTGCAGAGAAGACAGGCACCTCAAAGAACTGGAAAGACTTCTGCTCAGCTTATATTCCTGGAGTGTTCACTCTAGTGTGTAAAAACAGTGTGCCTATATGCCACTGGGGCTTAGGAGATGCTTAACAATTAAAACTTTACACTTTTAAATTAAAGAGGATAGCACTAAAGTAAATCTTCTCACATAAAAAGTGAAATTTGAGGTCTCTGTAACCCCAGCTTTGGGTATGGGGGAAAACCAAACAGATCCCTAAGTTCAATGGTTAGGCAGTCTAACCAAATTCATGAGTTCCAGGTTCAATGAGAAACCCTGCCTCAAAAATTATGGTAGAGAACAATCGAGGAAAAGACAAAAGCTGACCTCTGGCCTCCACACACAAGTGCATGAGAACACACATAGAAGTTTGTGTAACACACACACATACACACGCACACACACACAATGTGAAATTTACAAAAAAAGCATCCATTCTTTAAAGAAAAAAGATATTTCATTGCAGTAGATTTCACAAGAGACTATGTATGGTATAGTCACAATTCTTTTTTTAGCTGGGGGGTGGGGGGTGGTTTTTCCTTTTTTTTTTTTTTTGAGATAGGTCCACATTGGCCTGGAGTTCATGATCTCCCTACTAACTATTCAGATTATAGGCACATGGCACCACATCCAACTAAACAGTGCCAATTTTACAAGTATATTATTAGTATCACTGATTTCAGACATGGTGTACATGCAAAAAAGAATAGGCTATATCACTATAGATTTTAATAAAGATGGAAGGCCAGTTAAGAGCACTGGTTGCTCTTGCAGAGGACCTTGGTTCAGTTCCCAGCACCTACATGGCAGCTAACAAGTGTCCATAACTCCAGTTCCAGGGAATCCCAAACCCTCTTCTGGCCTCCATGGGCACTGCACACATGGGAGCACTCAACATACATGCAGGCAAAACATACATAAAACAAAAATAAATAAATTAAAAAAATTATTTAAAAACTTGCCTTTTAGAAAAAAATGGAAATAGTATAGATTAACTTAAATATGGTTATTTAAATACTCACTTCGCAGCTGTCTCTTTATTTCTTTTGCAGGATCTAGCCAGTTCTACAAAGGGGAAGGGAAAAGAAAGTTAGCAGTAACAACTATCCCCCATAACAAAATGGAATAGTTTACAGTTCACAACCTATACTTAATAAAGTCCACTTCACAGTAACTTTTACTCATTAGCATTCCACTGGGCCAAACGACTTGTGTGTACGTGTGTGTGTGTGTGTGTGTGTGTGTGTGTGTGTGTGTGTGTGCGCGTGTAACAAAATACATATATTTGTTTTTGTTTTCTTTTTTGTCTTTTTGAGACAAGGTCTCCCTGTAGCCCCAGCTCTCCTGGAACTCACTTTATAGACCAGGCTGGCCTCAAATTCACAATGTGCTGCCTGCCTCTGCCTCTGCCTCTGCCTCTGCCTCCCAAGTGCTGGGATTAAAGGCATGTGCCACCACGCCTGGCCATTTTAAGGTAAATTCCAGGTATCTCATTCACTTGGATGTGAAATGAAACATTTATCCAATGATGAGATATAATAGATATTTAATCTCGTTTACATAAAATTGCCCACAAAGCCCCTGCAGACACTGAAATAACAAGTTGTTCATGTTGGTTCTTACTCAAAGATAAAATGTAGCTGGAAATTGCTAGCTGAACGTGTACATGCCCTGACCACACATAACCATTTTATCTTCTAAGGCCAATTTCTCTTTCTCCTCTAAGTCTCCTGCTCTTGCCACTGTACCACGCTAAGGAGAGAAAATGTCAGATTAGAGACAATATTTTCCTTTCTGGATAAATAACATGTGTCCTTCTTATCTGGCATTAGAAAACACAATTATAAGGAACATCCTTACATTTGCCCTCATTTCTACCTTTGAGAAAGCTAATCAAAAAAACATGCTAAGAAACCACTATCATAATAAAGCAAAAAACATCAACTATGAACCCACCAGGTTTGAACCACCTAAGGGTATTAAATCTTTCAAACTGTAAAGCAAATGATTCCAACCAAACTTTTTAAAAATTTTGTTTATATTTTCCCACCCTAAGCCATTAAAGCTCATTCACCTTACTAACACAGACCAAGTATATTTTTTGAGATACAATACATTGATTCAAACAATTGACTTTTTTAGTACATAAGTCTGGCTTGCTTTAACAAGTATCCCAAATAATGTACTATAGCACCTGTGTTTAAACAAAATAAAAGGAACAAAGTATTTATTATTACATAGGAAATAATAACCTTTATTAATATATTGAAAAGATGCAACAGAACAAGACACACTATTAAAACATATTAACAACAGCATCCTTTGAAAGGAGAGTTGCACAGACCCCTCCCTGCCTTTAGATTTTACAACACCATTCACAGCCTGGACTCTAGGCAGCAAGGATCCAAGGTGTTGGTAATTCTGTTCTAACACTGGTCATATTCAGAGCTCTCAGTAAAGAGCCACAAGAGCATGGTTCAGTTTCATATTCCTGGTGTCCCAGCTGCATGGCACATTGATGTGAGAGGTCCAGGAGACCCTTTAATGGTAGCTCCAGTGTCATGATGTTAGGGAGCAGCTCTATTTCTCCTCTGAGAAAAGAGCTTGGCATTCAGCTTCCTTGCCCTGCAGCTGCTCGTCTACACAACAGCTGGCTCACAAATGGGCAACTATGATAAGTGCACAAGTAGGAGCAAAGCACATCATTTAACGTCCAGCCCAGGCAGGAGTGAGACTGGGGAAGAGATGAATGAGAAGGGTCAAAAATGTGGCACTTGCATCCAATGAAATAACAATTGCACCAAGAAAAACTGAATCAGAGACAACCAGTGCAAATGTGAATGACAACAAAAAGGAAAGCCTCAGAGCATTGACAGAGGAAGAAAAGAATACAGGAGGCACTGCTGGTCTCACAAACTTCCCAAATCTCCAGTTTCCTTAAGGATAAGCTCACACAGATGCCTGCTACAGAGAAGCAAGGATGGTGGAAGCAACATCATCTTTTGTAATGCCAAAGAGTAACCCTGTGGTCCAGCCATCACATACTTTCCATCCTCACTGAAGCACTAAGAAATCTCTTCAAATTACCTGACAGCTTCTACAGATCCTAGTGAGAGCAGGGAGAGCTCTACAGACCTAGTAATTCATGAGTGAGAAGTTTGCAAGCCAAATGCAGACTGCCATCCCACAACATTGACTGCCAGGACATACTAAAGACTGATGCGGCTTCTTATTTCAGATCTGTTCTAGTTTGCTTTTCTATTGCTGTGATAAAACAGTTTCACACCAAAAGCAGCTTGAGGGAGGAAAGGGTTTGTCCAGGTCATAATCCATCATCGAGGTAAGTCAGGACAGGAACTGAAGCAGAAACCACGGAGCAATACAGGTTTGCTTTCTGGCTTTCTCACTGGCTCATGCTATGCTAGCTTTCCTATACAGCCCAGACTTACCTACCTAAGGATGGTGCTGCTCAAAGTGGGCCAGGCCCTCCCATCATAAGGCAATCTCTCACAAACATGGCCATGGGCCAATGTGATTTGGGAAATTCCTCAATTGAGGTTCCCTCTTCTTGGGTAATTCTATATTGTATTAAGTTGACAATAAAAACTAACTAGAACAAGATCCTTACCCAGAGACTACAGAAGCTCTTGTTGACATGGTAGGACCAAGCAGCAGCAGAACTCCTTCCATCTGCCTATTTGGTTTTCCCTTTCCTAACCAGACTTAGTTCCACCCTGCAAGCTCCATTCTTAAAGAGGTAGGAGGTCTTCTCCACTCCCTGAGGCTGCAACTTTACACAGGATGGGACAAGCTATATAATTAATATTCTCCAGGGCAGTTGGCACTATTAGGGAACTTAACATCAAGCATTAAAAATCAATACCTGTTGAATGTTATCTGTCCATATCCAGTTCCTTCCGGTCCATGATGTAGTCATCTTAAATGATTACACATTATATTATTTTATTAGATTTGTTTTTATTTGAAATTATCTTGAGTACTTATAGTTGACATATAACTTCATTGCTTAGCATCATAGTTCTTGAGTAAAAATTAAAAATGTTTTAATTTAACTTCATGAAGAAATGTAGGCTTATTATCTGGATTATCCATTACAAATAAACAGACATAAAATTACTTTTGTTGCTTTGTTTCTTAAGATACAATCTCACTATATAGTCTAGGCTGGTCTTGGAACTCCCAGATCTCCTGCTCACCTCCCCAAGTACTGGGATTACATATGTGCACCCCCATGCCTGGTGACAAATAAATAAATAAATAAATAAATAGATAGATAGATAGATAGATAGATATCAACCTCTCAGGTTTGACAGTTGAGGATGACACGATAAAGGAGACACATCAAAAACATGGAAAATGGCATTGGCGAATAAAAGAGTAATAAGATAAAAAGGAGCAAGTGTACACATGTACACATATGCATGCACAAACACCATCCACTCAGTTAATATTAAGGATGTATCATTACCATGCTTAAATACCAACTACTATAACCAGGAACACAGACTTTGGGCTTAAAAATATATGGAGTCAGGGCTGGGGAGATGGCTCAGTGGTTAAGAGCACTGACTGCTCTTGCAGAGGACCTGGGTTCAATTCCCAGCACCCACATGGCGGCTACAAACCATCCTTAACTCCAGTTCTAGGGGAATCCAAAGCCCTCTTCTGACCTCTGCGGCATTGCACGACACGGGTGCACTCACATACATGCAAGCAATACACTCATACACATAAAATAATAAAATAAAATGTTTTAAAAAATGTATATATGGAGTCAAATTCTCAGTTCCCACCAATTCCATGGCTTGGGTACATTTCTTGCTTCTTTTAAGCCTCAATTTCCTCAACTGCAAAATGGAAATCACATCATCTATCTGATTAAAAAAAAAAGAAAAGACTGCAGGCATGGTGGTGCAAGCTTTTAATCTCAGCAAACAAAAAAAATCTGCCTTCTCCCAATAGTGTTGAAACAGATCCCCTTTAATGGAGACTTCTGACCACATTAGGTCTAAGAAAAGTCTACCCTAATGCTGGTGTCAAGAGAGAAGTTACAGACTTTCCACATCAGTGAAACATTCACTGCACATCTGGAAGAATGAGAGATTATAAAGTTTAAATGAACTGAATAAAGAATTTTATTTAAAGTTAGTTTATATGTGCAAACAGCTTAATATGAGCTTTTAGTTCTGCTTCGGGGAGGAGGGTATGGTCAGACAACTGTTTTAATTAATCTTCATAAAGTAAGCTTGGATATCAACTACACTTCTAAACAAGCACCTCTTTCAATATGGCTTACAGCAAAATGACATTATAATGCCTGGGCCAAACGCCAAATTCTATTAACAAATATTCAAGACATTTTTCCCTTTAAAGAGAGTCTAATACCCTTAATGATGATTCCATTTAGGCATGAAGACAAGATTTATATAGACTTAGAATTCTGTATAAATTAATAACATGATGCTTGAATCTATATATTAACATTTTCCAGAACAAAAGTTTACATAAGACTTTCAACAGATACCAAAAAGTTGGAACACCAGAAATGTCACACTTTCATATTCAAGATGAACTGAAAGGCTTCCAACTCAAGGTCTTGAACATTGAGAGACACAGTACTAACACCAAAAGTTTAAATTTTCCCTTGAAGGCAAATTATTGTATGGCATAACAAAGAACCGGGCCCAGCTCAGGCCTCCTGCCATAAGGAATGGGGAATGGACTTCCACATACATGACGGCCCAGCGCAGTCCATCATGGCAATGACAACCTGCTGAGAGATGATCTGCCCGGAGACAGACTGCCTATCATAGGACAGTGTGGGAAACCATGATTGGCTAGCCAACCCCTTATAGCCCCAAACGCTTCCTGGAATAAATGAGTCTGCAGCAGCTCGCCCTCTGCTTGCTTTCACCTGACTCCCGGTGTCTGTGTCGTGACTCCACGCCTCTCACTCCCATATCGGCAGGGACCCTGTGTCCCCCTCCGGCTGGCTCCAGGGGAGGACAGTAACAAATTATTATACAAAATACTCATAGATCTTGCCTGAGTTTTACTTTACAAAAGGCTGAAATAAATACCTGAAACTTTCTTGAATATTCAGCACAAGAAAGAAGCAGGCTGGAAGTCTAGTTTACTGGTAAAGCATATGCTTGGCATACATGAGGTTCTGAGTTTAATCCTCAACATCAAAACAGAAAAATGACAAAGAAAGACACATCTCTGTATCCTACTATGGAAACCACTAAGACTTCAAAGTACGTAGGACTAGTTAGACTAAGTTAGTATAGCACTAATAATTTTCTGCAAGAGAAAAAACACAGACCATACCAATCTATATTGGAAAAATGAAGTTTTTTCACCTAAATATATTGAGAACTGGATTTTGCTTATGTAAATAGGAAGGAATTTTAAAAGCTATATAATACAAAAGTTGTGGGGCTACATTAATTATATATACATATATATGTATGTATGTATATATATATAATTTAACACATTGTCACTATATTTGAGCATTCATTTCCTGAAAAGTAGAGGTCTCACAAAAGACACTCTTTTCTTCATGCTCCCAAAGTTTTCTTGAGATAAAATAAAACTGAGTTGGGGCTGGAGAGATGGTTCAGCAGTTAAAATCACTAGCTGATCTTGCAGAGAACCCAGGTTCAGATCCCAGCACCCACATGGCAGCTAACAACCATCTATAACTACTCTAGTTCCAGGGGATCCAATGCCCTCTTTTGACCTCCATGGGTATTGCATGACATGGGTGCACTTACATAAATGTAGGCAATACACTCATTCACAAAGATTAAAAACAAACAAAAATATAAAAAATAAAACTGAGTCAGGCACAGTGGTGCACACCTTCAGTCCCAACACAGAGGAGACAGAGGCAGGTCTTTTTTTCAAGGCCAGCCTGGTCTACATAGCCAGTTCCAGGGCAGCCAGGACTCTATCTCAAAAAATATAAACTAAAATTAAATAAAATAAAACTAAAATAGAAAGTGGTCACTAATATAGGGCAAGCATTTTCTCCTGACACTTCCTAAGAAAAACTAACCACAAAGTTAAATAAGGAATTCTAAACTCCTTATTCAACACTGGATCTTTTTATCAATGAGTTATAATAAGCCCACCCCAGCCCATCCTTGCATGTTTTTAGAGGGGACAAGCACTCTACCAATAAGCTATATTCCCAGCCTTTTCCCTATGCTATTCTCTGCCTTAATAACCTTAGCCTCCTAGACACTAGCCAACCCCTTCCATGACCAAACTTAGGGTGTTGTCATCACACAATTCATCATCTCATTAGACTTCATCATCTCATCTTCAGAGGCAATCAGAGTAATGAGGAGAAAGGTCAACAGAAAAATAAGGTTTGTGTTAAATGTACTGATGACAGAGGCAGCTGTTAACTCCTGTCCCTTGAGTTGGGGAGAGGAAGGATGGAAAAAAGTAGGCTCCCCCAGTAGGATCCAGTAGGATACGCAGGCAGCTCTTAAGGAAAGGTAGGCATTTAGGTACAAAGAGAAAGACACAGCCCATGCAAGGACTAATATGTATGAGCAGATAGTTACACCAGCAAGGCTCGTTTTGGAAGTGAAATCTGGTATGTACTGAATATTGATTGTGTGTCAAACATTACAGAGAAACAAAGCTTAAGTAGACTTAGATTATGTAGGAGCCTTATATGTCACTCTAAGGTCCTGATTTGTAGCCATTAAATGTTTCTAAGTAGGTGAGTACCTAGATCAGATAAGATCACAGAGACCTTTTGAGTGTCCATAGAAGATAAAGAGAAGGAAGGAATCTAGAACCATTCTTCAGGGCACAGATAACATTTAGGAGAAAAGAAGAAACACTTTGTTATTAGACTAATAGGGTTCAGTAGACAATTAAGTCTATGAGTCTCAGGTTCATGTACAAAATACGGACTAGACACATGTATTGGGAATCCAAATTTTAAAAACAGTGACTCCTACTATCTAAATACCACAATTTTTCTTATACAAAAAGAATGTTCCAGAAATACTCAATTTCTTAATGGTGTTTATCTTGTTTGTGCCAACAAAGCATGGTATTTATAACATACTGAACTGTCTTCATATTTTGCAAAGATTAAATGTTCCTATGAACCTACCAATATGAAATCTCAAAAAAAGAGATGGTTACCAAGTTCCCAGCATGTTCTCTTTTGGAGCTTTGAGGACCAACAGATGAGGACATGATTGAAAACACTACCAAGACCAACCTGTAATTTACTGTCTTTAAAAGGCACCTTTTATTTAGTCAAATGTGTTACTGCTTCTAAGGAGAGTGTTCTAAACAGAGTTCTAATAAAAATATATCCTATTCAGAAGGCAAGCATGCAATTTGTCTTTAGTCTAAGCATAGAATTAAACCACAAATTATATATCAGGAATAAAACTGAGCAAGTTAAGAAAATTGAATTTGCATATAATTATCACCCTTAAAACTCTGTACTTCATTAGTGGGTGATATAAACACAATGATGCTGTGCAGGAAAATAACAAAATGCACATTACGCTCCTCTAATGACTGCTGTGTTCTATTGACTATAATATTAACAGTAACCTCTTTCAGATGAGTGAATGTTCTATGCATCCTGAGGCAGAATGGTTCCCAATGAGTCTATCCAGAGCTACACTCTAAGAGACTTTTAGGGCTTCCTCTGTAGGGGGCAACTCTGGACCAAACCTGCATTTTTCACTCCCCTACTCAGTATCTTCTCACTCGTACCAACTCTAGAGACTCAGAAAGTGAAGAGGAAAAGCCCTTTTTCTAACATTAAGAAGGCTACAGGTTAACCCTGGTCAGATCACAAAGGGTTAATATTTCCAGCCTTAGTTTTTTCTTATGAAATTGAGAACCCCTGAAGTTCTGTGGAATTAACACCATCATTAGGCCACAGACCACCCTGATGTTCTTGTTTAATGTCTTGGGAAACTCTTAGGGCAGACATGGTCTCAACATACTCCCCAAGGTTAGTCACTGTCCAGTCAGAGGGTCAGTTACTGTGGTCAAATATACCACCCAAGGAGAGCTGGCCCAACCACCTTTTTTGCACCCAACAGCCCAACAGCAGAGCCAGAAGTACCTTTCCCTCACTCAGCCAGTAAGGTCTACTAAGCAAGAACACATGAGTACACTTACTCATGACATTCCCTCCAATGCACCTACTTCTTTGTTGTTTAGGCTTGTTTAATATCTACTGTACAGATGACTACACACTTGTATGTTGCAAAAAATGAACTGACAGGGCTAGCCTCTGTATTTAGCACCAAAACCAGGAATAGAACATGATTGAAATAATACTGCCTTTTTTTATAGACAGGGTCTCTCTGTAGCCCCAGATGGCCTGGAACCTGCTATGTAGACCAGGTTGACCTCTGCCTGCCTCTGGTCCAGGTAGAATAAACAATTAGCCCGGTCTTGTAAACCAGAGATGGACTCTAGAATTCCCCAGGACATCAAGGAAGAGAAACCCTTCTCGCCATCAACACCCAAAGCTGATATTCTCACTAAACTATTCCTTGGCTTATATACTTCGTGCATTCTGTCTCTAGAGTGTTGATGCGCTATCACACCTGGCTGAAATAATACTACCTTAAAGGTGGTCTTCATGTCAGAGAATCAATTTTCCCACTATTGAAAAACTTTTAATGCATTTTAAAAGCATTTTCCCCTTACAAATTCATTATATAAACTGACTCCACTAGGAATTCAAGAGTTAAAGCTTTAACATAATCTTAAAATCAGTTTTTTAAATCTCAGTTAACATAGGAAAAGACAGTCCACTCTATCTGCACATGATGTAAGGAAAGAACACAAAATACCAAGAAGTTATAAGTGGATCTCTCACATGAATAATTTTTAAATATTTACCAAAGTCTTATATTAACCACAAGTTATTGTAAAGTTAAACTGTATTCTAAAATTAAACTGGTTAAGAAAAAATACAGTTATTTTCTAAAAAGACATTAAGTTGAAATCACTTACTTTCTGCTCAGGATTTTCTTGAAACAGAAGTCCAAAGTAGTCCTTCTCCAAAAGATTGAGGTGTTCACATACTTTGTCAAATAACACTTGTCCCTTAGCACATTTCTGTAGAAAAAGAAAGCAAATCTTTACTTTGCAATAGAAGGTCAAAAAGGTGATGAGGGAGAGAAGGGGCAAAGGGCACATGTGATATGAAAGAGAAAAGAGGCTGCTAGGAGAGGCACAAGAGGAGAAGAAGAATGAGGAATTCTTGTTTGACAAATTCCAAGATGAAAATAAAAATTTTTTTAAAATATTATTAAGCTGGGCATGGTGGCACACACCTTTAGTCCCAGCACTAGGGAGGCAGGGGCAGGTGGATCTTCGTGAGTTTGAAGCCAGCCTGGGCTACATAGCGAGTTCCAGGTCAGCTATGGCTACAAGGAGACCCTATCTCAAAAAGATAAAAGAAAAAAATTATTTAAAAAGCTCCACTGATTTACTATAATATAAAATGTTTTCCTAATACTTTAGCAATGCAAAGCACAATTCAAGAATGAAGTCATAATAAAATGCATTCTGCTTTATTGGTGTTCTCCATAACTACCAGCAAGAATTAACAAGCAAAAGACTGGCTATTTATTGACTCATTTGAACAACAGTAAAACATATGTTCAATTACCTTACCTAGACAACATACATATTCTAAAAAGAATATGCCCAGGAAGACTGCTTAACCCTATCTATTATTTAATGTAACCTCACAATTTATCTTATCAGCACTTAGGTTTGTTTTTCATTGTTGTTCCAAAATGTTTGTGGAATAAGTTTTTCCAATATAAATTATGCTTTATTTATACTTTTCTAAAGACTATGGTATTCATTCTTTAGGGTACCTCAGTAGAGATATAAAGGCCTCAAGCAGCCATAGAAAAAAACTATCATTTAATCATTGACAAAAAAATGAGTTCACAACACCCCTGGAATATCCCAACTATGAATTCAGGTCAGACACACGCCTGCCCCTAAAGGCACTGACAGAAACCACAACTAGATAGACAGTGAAACTACCACTGCAGGGCCAAAAAAAGTAGAAGGGCCCGTGAATGCTCTACTATCAAAATATACACCTGTTAGTTCATCTAGTACATAGAAATTACATTCCCCACACAGACAAATCTTGGGGAGGAGAATCTGGTACTTCTATTAAACCTTTTATAATAACATTTCTAAAAATAATTATTACGTCAATAGTAAAGGAAAGAAGAAAGCCACATATATTATATTACCAAAATAAGCAATGTGATATATATATATAATATGTATATATACATACATACACATATCATCATGAATTCACAATCAGGATTTAATATTTAAGATAGACTTGTGCTTGTATATCTACATATTTAAAGTACATACAAATGCTGAGTTCTAAATACATTACTACTATTAACAAGCTATGTGACCAAAGGCAAAACAATTAACTACTTCTGTCACTAGTTTGTATAGCTGTGAAATGGGGTAACAGCAACTACCACAAGGTATGTGGCAAATACTAAACAAATTAAAATGCGTAACAACAACTGGATATGGTGCCTGAAGTTAGTAACATTTCAAAGGGATATTTAAGACAATGTCTACCAATATATTCTTCAAAGAGAAAACACACACACACACACACACACACACACACACACACGAAAAAAAAAACTGTTCATAAAACCTGCCAAGAACATTTTGAAAAAGGAATTTTTCTTTCTATATTAAATCCCAACAAGCTTAGCAATCTATTTTCCCCATATGCTTCTTGCTAACTCAACTTATATCACAGTAATAGAGAACTCAGGGGAAAAGGGGAAGTGCAGTAGGTGGAGGGTTGGTCCACTTTTCTGGGTTATCAATCAGATCTTTTGTGTATCTGTGTTTGGGGGGGGTGGGTCTGGTCTCTGCATGTTGCTGTATGTGTGCATGTATGTGCCAGTGGTCAATTCTGGGTGTCTTCCTCATCACTGTCCACCTTATTTTTTGAGATAGGGTCTCTGAATGAATCTGAGACTCACTGATTCAGCTAGACTGCAAGTGCTAGGAAGCCCCAAGCTCCTCTTGTCTCTGCCTCCCCAGGGCAGGGATTACAGGCATGCTGCTGCACAGAGTTTTTCATATAGATGTTAGGTCTTCAAACAGTAGTCCTCATGCTTACGGAACAAGCACTTTACTGACTGAGCCATTCTCCAGGCCCTATCTTTTCATTTTGTTTAAGGTTGCATAATACAGTAGAGAATGCAAAGGATAGAGATGAAGAAAGATGGCTTAGATGTGTTTTAAAAATATTTTTCTCGGGCTGGAAAGATGGCTCAGAGGTTAAGAACACTGACTGTTCTTGCAGAAGACCTGGGTTTGCATCCCGGCACCCACATGGCAGCTAACAACTGTCTGTAATTCCAGTTTCGGGGGATCGGACAGCCTCTTCTGTCCTCCGTGAGCATTGCACAGCATGGGTGCACTTACCCACATGCAGGCAATACACGCATACACATAAATTTTTTAAAAATTAAAAAAAATTTTAAATATTTTTCTCAAGAACTGGAAGACTAGCTTATGGGAAGTTCCTCTTAAAAAGTAAAAGTAACTGGGTTCGAACCCCAGCATCCACATGGCAGCTAACAACTGTCCGCAACTCCAGTTACAGGAAATCCGATAGCCTCTTCTGTCCTCCAAGGGCATTACACAACATGGGTTCACTTACCTCCATGCAGGCAATACATGCATACACATAAAATAAAAAAATTAAAATAAAATATAAATAAAATAAAATAAAATTTTAAAAAAGTAAAAGTAATCAACAGTAGACTCAGTTAAAGAAAAGTAGACTGGAATCTGAGACATTGAGCAAAGTCCCCTGTGTCTGTGCTGTTATTCGTGGCATTCATTACTGAAGCCAAAATATGACATTTCTGGAGGCCTCTCAACTTAGAAGAATTTGTGCAACTGCTTATCCAGCAGATTGCAGAGGACGCCACACACCACGGACATTTTATAAAGCACCATCACTGTCTCCTTGTAGGTCCCTCCACACTGCCGTTATTGTGTGCCAAGAAGCCAATGATGGGAAGTACACAATGCAATCCATACATTACAGTTCAGAGTTATGCATTTTACACTAGTTCTAAATTACATTACGCAAGTATAAAAGGCCAAGAGACAAAGGGATGCACAGAAAAAACACAAGTGATATATTGTTGTGATGGGTGCAGGAAAGCAACCAAAGTCATACGCAAGACATAAAGGAGATGTAGCTCATCTAAGGGCATGATTTATCAGATTAATTTTTTCCTGCCAATCTGAGTAAACTGTCAGCACTGGAATGTCAGATTGGCCTTCAAAAAAAAAAAAAAAAAAAAAAAGCAGGGCCAATGATTTTTTTTGTGTGCATTCAAAACATAGTACTACAAGCAGGTGAGTCATTTACAACAATTTTTTTTTTAGTAATGTGTTCCTGATCATTAATAAAAATTAAGTTCAAAAATGTTTTCTCAAGTACTGAAAGTAGTTAGGCATATGTGTATTATATATAAAGCAAATATACACATGCAGATATATAAATATATATAAAACGAAGCATTGATCTAACACATGTACATATATATATACACACATAAGCATTTTAGAAGTATTTGAAAGCCCTTTTCAAGCTTAATGCTCAGTAATTAGAAATATTTCATATATATACATATAAATACATATATGCACATAGCTCTAACTTATGTAAACAAGTAGGTTTCTTAAAATTCACTTTAAAAAGTAAGGAAATTTTCTGAAGAGTTCACTAAGGATCTCTCTATTTCTTTCCCATTCCACGGGATTTGAAAGGTTATGGTAGAATATTTTGGAGATTAGTGTCATTCAGTACTATCCAAAATAGTTTTAGGTACTACTAGAAATGAAAATTAAAAGGCTATGGCTA